TTATGTAGCAGGCACCAGTGACTCAGAGTGAGACAAAGAAAAACAAGACAAACACTCAAGGTACTGGTGCTATAATGGGAGGACTTAGATGAGTAAACCCCAAATTTCAACACGGGTTCATTCACCACGGCTAGTCCCCCCGGGGACAGGAATCTGATAGCATAATGGTTCCGACTTACCTAGAGCCATCTGATCAAATCTGTATTCAAGGACAGGGCAATGAGCCCTAGAGGCAAGACTATAATTCCAGATTTACAAACTCACTTAAGGACTATTTTATTTCAAAAAATGGTATGAAGATACAGCACATATCGTAAAAAAAAAAAAAAAAAAATCTAAATAGTTCCACAAAATCAACACAGCTCTATAAATTCTATTCTGAGTAACGCAGAGCAAAAAAAGCAAAATGCAAAAAGAAAGAAAGAAAGAAAGAAAACACACACACAGTGATTAGTGTGCCGAGAGAGCGCTAAATGTGGAATCATGTTCTAGACCAGTAACTCCTCAACTTCTTTGGAGTTAAGTACCTCTCTGAGAATCTGACGCCCTCGCCATAAAAAGTGCACATGCACACAAAACTTTGCATCAACCCCAGGAGGTTCGTGGGACACACCCTTCCAGCTCCCTCCAGTTAAGGCCCCCCAACTTGAGATGAGACAACGGAGCGAAGCTTCCTGAGTGAAGCCCAGATCTGCGCAGCCGGGGCCTTGGGACCTGCCCGACACCTGTGTCTCCGGCCGGCTCCACAGCGCCACCTGCCGACCAGCCTGAGCACGAGCGCGAGCGCGCCAGCAGCGAGGTCAGAAACACCACTTCACTGTCCGCGTCACCTACGCCCGGCCTGTGCAAGCACCTGGTATGAGGACGAGGAGGAGCCGGATGCGGCTCCAGAAAAGAAAACAGAGTAAGGGAAGGGAGGCACACGCCACGCCCCAGGGAGGAGAGTGGCCAGTGACCCAAGGGACAGCCAAAGCGTAAAGAAAGTCACGACGAGAGATCACGCCCAGCGCTGCGAACACTCGGGGGGCCGTGAGAAAGGTGGGAGCGAAGGCTGCGGCGCTGACCGCAGGGGCCGAGGGTGAGGCGAGCAAGGTTCTGCGGCAGGGCTTGGAGATGGCGGGTCCCCACAGAAGCGCTGAGCCCGTCCTGAGCGGCAGAAGGGACAAGGTAAGAGGCCGGGGCTGTCCGCAGGAGTCCGCCCCGTAGCACGCACTGGAAGGCGCTGTCCCCAGACAGGACGCCCGGCTCCCTCACGGCCCTGACAAGGCCGTGGGGAGACACACGGGGACCACGGGGACCGCAACGACAGGCTGGCGGGGGCCGCGGGGAGAGTGCGCTCAGAGCACGTCCCGTGGGGTCAGTCTGCCCTCAGGGGCCCCTCACAGGGGGCCAGCGACGGTGGGGTCCAGGGGCCGCCCCCTGTGCAGAGGGGACGCTGCTGGTGGCAGCGCAGCCGAGAAGAGGCCGTCCCTCGCCAGCAGACGCTCGGCGCGTCCGGGAACGCGTCAGAGGGACAGCGCGCTCCGTGAGACGCCACCACGGAGAGGTGGATCACCCACAAGCCACAGTCTAAACATTACATTTTATTAAACAAAAAAAAAAAGAAACCAAACGCGCAACTGCCTTTCAAGGTAGGGCGAAAAGCTTCGCGCTTTCTCTGCGGTGTAATTAGGCACATTTGTTGATAGATAAACACAGAAGTGCTGGTTTGATCTTGGAGCAAAAGTGAGGCAACTGCTTCCACAAACCACAGAGAAAAGTTTTAATATTTAAAGCAGATTTAGAGGAAGCAAATGTGCTTTCATCTCTCTGCAGGAGCCAGTGTAAACGTTCTGTTTCAAAATGACAGTCTCCGGCGCGAGCATGTGTGAGTGAAGTAACTGGGGACAGTTCCGCTTGCTCTTCATCCTGCGCTGCCCAGGCTGGTTCGCCTGCGAGGCGGACACGGTAGTTTCCGCTCCAGAAATGGGAGGGAAGGTGGGCGGGAGGACGCAGGTCAGTCGTGACCCTGACCCAAGCCTGACATTTTCACCACAGGGAAAATCATTCTTTCTCAATCAAGTATTGAGGGAAAAAATTTAGAGCACGCTTAAGATTAAAAAAGTGCATCCGGCCGGGCGCGGTGGCTCACGCCTGTAATCCTAGCACTCTGGGAGGCCGAGGCAGGTGGATCGCTCAAGGTCAGGAGTTTGAGACCAGCCTGAGCAAGAGCAAGACCCTGTCTCTACCAAAAAATAGAAAGAAATGATCTGAACAACTAAAAATATATATAGAGAGAAAAAATTAGCCGGGCATGGTGGCACATGCCTGTGGTCCCAGGTACTCGGGAGGCTGAGGCAGGAGGATCGCTTGAGCCCAGGAGTTTGAGGTTGCTGTGAGCTAGGCTGACGCCACGGCACTCACTATAGCCTGGGCAACAAAGCGACACTCTGTCTCAAAAAAAAAAAAAAAAAAAAGTGCATCCTGGCACCATTCGGTATGGATGGACAACGAACTGTCAAAACCGTCCTTATCACGTATCAGCCTTGGCGTGTATTTACTTCTCATCGACTGTCACAGAGTCACAGGTTTTAGAACCTTAAGGTACTTTACAGATCCTCTAGCCTAGGGATTCGTACGTTAGGAATACTGTTTTTAGGAGTGAACCTTTTAACTAACAACAGAGATCCAGGACGTGAACCCAGCCGCTGTCGGCTGCTCCGGCTGGACTGTGGGGTGAGGGTGGGGATCCCAGAGCTGCTTCTCAGAGGCCCCATGGGGGGACCCAGGGGGCCCTGGGAACACAGGGACAAAGGAGCAGGGCCCAGGCAGAGGCTGAGCTCGCACCCAGGAAACGGAAGCTCCTTCCCCTAGTCCACACGGCGCAGCCCTCGCTCCGACACGGTGAGGACTCCAGACAGCAGCAGCGCCAGGTGCCGAGCCCTGCCGCCCCGGCCGTCAGCCCAGATACCTCGTTCGTGCAGCCTGATCGCTTCCATGAGATACGGCACCAGGAGCCGGTTCACGATAAACCCGGGAGTGTCCTGTTTCAGGAGAAAGAAGAAGACAAGACAAGTGAATTTTCATTAAACTGTATCTTTTATGAAGTCACCAAATCACCCCTTCCCACTGTAAATTACGTTGCCTGCACTTAGGAAGCTGCACATTTTCAAGGTTTGTTTGAAAGCACCCGCACAGCCTTACTTCTATCTCAGGTGACAATTCATCCAACAATCGTAGTTCAGTACTTAAAAAAAATCAAACCCAGATGCTCCCAAGGCACAGGGTCACCAGGAAGGAAGAGCATGGCTTGGGGCAGGCGGACCTGGGTTCAGTCTCCACCAGCCCGTCTACACTGACCGTCCTCTGAAACTCAGTTTCGTCACCTGCCAATTGGAGGTGGTCGTTTCTGCCTCGGAGTTGTGAAGACGAATCAGAAAACGTGAAACGCTGTGTGTGTGGCCCTACGCTCGAATGGCGGCCCCTTCACTCCTCCCCCTTCCCGCCAGGAGTCTGGAGGCAGCAGCCTCCGCCAGGACAGGCTGGGAGGAGCGCTGCCGTCCTGGCCGCCGGGGCCACTCCCGACTGCGGGGTCCCCTCTCCCGCGCAGTGACTTGACTTGGGGCCACCGTTGGGACCAGCTGGGACCAACAAGCCGAGCCCCTGGCAGAGTGCCGGCCTCTCGTGCAGCCCACCCAAGACCCTCCGCGCCTAGGGGGTCGCCTGTGCCGCAGGCTGCTGTCATCAATTTCCCGCCCCAGCAGCTAACGCAATCGCCTCTCCAAGAGGACTATTGCGGGGTTTGGATTTATCTACCGATCGCTTCTGGGGACTTGCGAAGAACGCCGGACTGGCAGATTGGTAATATTTGGGTAAAGCTGAATTTCACTACGTAGACGGCAACTCCTCTTCTGTCTCAAGGCTGTGACCTTCCTGTGGGCAGAAGTCCTCACCCTGGCTGGGGCCGAGGACTCTGCTGCTGGCACACCCCGGGCGCCCCACTAACACCTGCAGTGACGGTGCCCGGGCTCTGTACCCCCCGAGGAGCTCAGTGGCTGCACGCGGTGACAGCAAAGCAACAGGCTGCCGACCTCCAGCATTCAGACCTGGAACCAGCCCCGCCCATCGCCACGGGAGCGTAAAGACGCACAAACAGGCCTTATCGGTTTCGCACGCTGACTGCCACGCCGGAAAACATTTTCCCTGGGGGCCACAGTGTTTTATTATGAAAACAGCATAAAAACTTTGAAAATAAAATGATCCTTTCTAATTTAATGAAAAATTTGTCATTTTTTATTGTTTTCTGTGTTTTTTAAATTCAAAAGTAATATAAAAACTTGAAAATTAGTAATGTAAAAAGTAATGTGAAAACTTGAAAAACAGTTCATAAGGGTAAAGTGTTTTTCTTGGCTTGTCAGGCTTAACTGTAACTTAAAGGTAAACAGAAAAATAACATTTACTGACTTCTATTCATTCAATCCACATTTCTAGAATTAAATTGTCAATATTAGCTGTAACAATATGAACATCAACAAGTCAGATTTTCACAAACCAGCTGCAGGGTTCTGCCCGGGGCCACCCGTGGGCGACAGCAGGCCGCAGCATGGCAGTGGGACTTGTCTGCGCGCCACACAGCTCCCACGGTGAAGGGACGTGTGAGTTATATGCCCTTCTCGAGGCCCTAGGCTCAAAACTAGCCCGAGTTAAATACAACTCACGCGGCAGTCAACGTGTTGACCGAGATTATAAAACAATGCTGATTTTACAACGGAGGCGAAAGTGCTCTTTTCAGCTTCGCAGGGACTCCTGCACAACTGAGGGCGGGAGCGTGGGAACGCAGAGCGCGCCACGTGTCAGGTAAAGGTCAGAGAGCAGCCTGGGAAAAATGTTTGCTCCAACTCTATTAATCGTGGCGTCATCCTCTACAGAAAGAGCTCCTGGAGCTCGTGTGGAAAAAGCGCGAAAACTCACAGAATATTTAGACTCACTAGTAACCAAAGAAACATTCGTTAGAACAAAAGAGCACTTTTGCCAGAAACCCTTTCTCAAGGTTTCTTCCCCATTATTATCATGTTCAGTGCCGCTGAGGACGCAGAGACAGGTGCTCTCAGAACACTGTAAAGAGACATCGTCCTCCGATAAAACAATTTAGTTTTACATAATTGTACGCCTTGTATTTTTCAGACTTTTATTTATTAAACACATTTTATTTACCATACTTACTATGTGCCAGGTACTGTTCTAAGTACTTTACAAATATTAAATCATTTATTCCTCGTAACGACGCTGGGAGAGAGGTGCTGTTATTATCCCTGTGTGAGGCACGAGGACGCTGAGGCACAGAGAGGTTAAGTAACTTGCCAAGGCTACACAGCTAATAAGTGCCAGGGCCAGGACTCGCACCCAGTTGAGCTAGCACATGCCTTTAACCTTTATACCGCACTCTCCCCACGGATGACACATTCCAGAAACACTCGTGTCATTCTTGTGTGTCAGGTGTTGGTAAACTATGACAGTACAGGCCAAATCCAGCCCGCGGCCTGACCGTGCGAATGCGGTCTTACTGGGCACGGCCACGCGCAGGCCTGCGTGTACCGCCCACGCCGCTTTCCCGTCACAGCAGCAGAGCTGAGTCGCTGCCACAGCGCCCGTGTGGCCTCACACGCTGTCTGGACCTTCACAGAAGAGTTCGCTGAGCCTCGTCCAATGTGGTTGCTGTATGTTGTCTGGGGCCTCAGAAGAGCTTAAATAACTGACCCAGAAAGACCCCAGAAAGCGCTAAGGTACCACACAGAGAAAGTTCTAGGATGACCTAACAAGGACGGTTTCATGAGACAAAGCTTCCATCTCGGCCGCTGCTATGGCCACTCTGATGGAGAATGGATCGTCACCCTCTGTAAACTGGCGACTCCCCCGCCGCAGACAATCACGGGCTTGCCCCTGCGCTTCCACTGATACCTCCGTCCGCCTCCTCTTGCTAATGCTGCTGCCGCCTGCTTCCCCCGACAACGCGCAGATGGGCAAGAAAGTGCAACCACAGAAGCCAGTTATTAATGTCATTTTTAAAATGCAGATAATTTAAAACCATACAAGTAAACAGACAAAAAATGGGTGTTAAAACTGACACCGCCCCCGGACTGGGGGAGGCTGCACGTGCCGGTCCACTCTGGCTCCCGAGACCCGCTCGACCGACGGCTCGTTCACGATTCATGAGCAACGTGCGTTTTCGTGGGTTAGTCCAGCACTGTGAGCTCAAATGTAAGGATATTTCAGAAAGCAAAAGTAGCCATGAGAAGAGCCGTATGGTATAAAGGGCCACCATCAAACAAGTAGACGAGGTATTGGCGAAACTCTGTAATCGTGTGGCATTTAGCGACACAGCTACCCCTTTAGAAAAAGTGCAGACTCTTGCAGAAGTACAGTCCCTACGTTTTGGGGAAACTGAAGAGAACTAAAAGAAATGGGAAAACTGAAGGCAACCAAAACGCAGTAGGTCACCCTTCCAACCACTGGGGTCATTCTGCGTAACGGGGCAGCGTAAGAAGGGGAAGCTGGAGGCCGAGCGTGCTTTCTACCCAGCCAAGTGTGTCACTGAAAAACAACACAACACGACACAGAACAAAAACACAGGCAACGTTCCACTGGGAACCAGCTTCGTTAACGCTACCCTGGGCAGGTTGGTCTCTTCCTGTCTCAGCATTTCCAAGTGCTCTTTCCAGAAGTCAAGTCCTGGTTTTCTGTTAGGGATGTACGTGTCCAACAGCTGCACCCGACACACAGGGTTCTCACTCCCAGTGGAAGTTAAAGCTGATGGGGCAACGAACACCATTTATGAAAATGCAGCCAAACAGACAAAAGCCAGGGCCGGGAGTGGAGCCCTCTATTCAGCTGAAGGCCTGGCGCCATCCGGGTCTCAGACTATCCTGACGGCTTCAGGCCTGGCTGCGGAGTGCGGCTTCCCTGCCTGCAAACTAGAACGGAGGCCCAGGTGGCTCTCTGCAGCACGTGGACAGCCTGCAGTAAACAACGCTCCTTCTCACATCGTCTAGCAGAAGAACGGAAATCAGTCAGGTTCCAGGAAAAATCACCCCCTTCCCAAGCGACCGGTACTCTACCTTGCAAGAAACAGGGTGCTTTCCCAGGGCTTTGCTGAAGTCGACCAGAGATTCGAACGTCTTCTGGCTGGTCATTGGTGTTTTGATGACCTGGAAATGCAAAGCAGAGAACTATGACCAGAGAGTCAGCAAGTAACTTCAGTAGAATGGTTCAAGGAAACGCTGATCAAAACAGTCCGTGCAGGTATAAAAATAATTTTACTTTCAGTAAAGAAGTAGGGATCTCAAGCCAGAAACAAAGTAGTTCCCAAAATGTCCATTTTAAGACAACGCAGTAGTGCAGAATGTACGAAATCAAGGCTTAAAATACAAATGTGTGCACACGTGTGTGTGTGCGCACGCAGGACACTTTTACAGGCCTGGTTGCCAAGTCAGACTTAGGTTCAACTGCACCACTCGCTGGCTGCATGGCCCATGCTTCTTAAAACTGAAATGACACTGAAATCGCTCTGTCCACCTCGAGGAGTTGAGAATGAAACCAGATTGGGAGTAAAGCACTAACCACACTCCTAGAAGCTCGTGAGTGCTCAGTAAATGCTGCTTTTGTTGTTCTACTTGTCACTGTTAATTACTTCAGAGTGGCAGCTGGAAGTCTAGGAGAATGTGCTGATTGCCCTTAAAATTCTCAGCAGGAAGCCCCTTCTCACATTATAGTTGATGAGAAAGAGCCCCAGGAAGACGGGAGTGCCTTGCCCAAGTCACAGATGTGACTCTTCCTCCCTGACCCCACGCTCTCCCACACAGACGTCCCAGCGGCCAGTGGCCCTGCTGTGGAACAGACTCGTGCTGCAAAAGGCAGCCTGCGCTGACAGCAGGCAGGGCCGTGGCCAGGGCCTGCCACCAGCCCCAGCAGCGCTCCTGACGCCCCGGGAAGCACAGGGAAGCACACGGCTGCCGCCTCGAGGGCATCTGTAGGAGACGGCACCAAGCACAATGGCGGCACAACGGCCCTCAGCAGACATTTAGAGAATTCTTCTATCAGAGATTAGATTTGGGCAAATGGAGAGACCCAGGTGAATTTAAACTTTACATACTTATATAAAATTTAAATGCCAGTAAAGAACGTCATTCAGAGTCAAAGCAAACAGGCTTGGCTTCTACCCTGTCTGTGATCTGAGGCCAGTGCCTCACCGCTCTTCTAAGAAATGGAGCTCACGAGACCTGACGTGCCCTCCCCTTGCAGGAGGGCCCTCCGGGCTAACGCGCCGTCTGTGCGGGATGAAGGGTGCCCGTAAACGAAGAGGAGGCTCTCACTAGAGCTCACATGCTCGTGGCCCAGGACAGCCACGAGGCGGCAGCCAGGAGGCCGCCACGGCCGCACCTCACCCCACATCGGGGCCAAGCACAAGTACCACGTCATGACACGAGGGAGATGAATGTGTGGAACAGAAAAAAAGCACCGTGAAGACCGAGATGAGCAGCAGGACAAGATGGACCAGAAACCGCTGTGGGACCAAAAGTCAAAGAGCAGTCCTAGAGCTATTCAAGAAGAGGTCTAAAAAGTCTTCAGGACCAGAGACTGAGCTAAGAAAAGGATGCTGCCAACTATGGAGTTTTAACAATAAGTTGTTGGTTTAAAGGAGTCCATAGCAAAGGTCTGTTGTTTTTTAAACAGGAGAGATGCATGTTTGCTCATTCATTCAACAAACAGCAATGTGCTACATACAGACATTCTGCTCTTGGTTCCAACGAAGTCTGCAGAGATACATGTATGTACGTACGTACGTACACACACACACACACACACACACACACACACACACACTCTTAAATGAGTCCAGTCCCAAGTAAAGGAGCCACTCTGCTCGTTATACAATTCATTTTGATGCTCACCACCAGCAACACATATCAAGAGCTAAAGTTAAAGAATAAACATTGTGGCCGGGCAAGGTTGCTCACGCCTGTAATCCTAGCATTCTAGGAGGCTGAGACAGGAGGATCATTTGAGGTCGGGAGTTTGAGACCAGCCTGAGCAAGAGCGAGACCTTGTCTCTACTAAAAATGGAAAAAATTAGCTGGGCGTGGTGGTGGGCGCCTATAGTCCCAGCTACTCGGAAGGCTGAGGCAGGAGGATCGCTTGAGCCCAGGAGTTTGAGGTTGTTGTGAGCTAGGCTGACGCCACGGCACACTAGCCGGCAAACCAGTGACACTCTGTCTCAAAAAAAAAAAAGAAGAAGAAGAAACACTGAATAGAGAACAACAGTTTTACAAAATATTTTGTAGAAAATGGTAACATTTGCTAAGCATTAGCTGTTAACAACCAACATACTACATTTCCAAAGACAAGGGCAGACACTATCAGGTAAATGTAGTTGAAAACAACATTATTAGAGTTTAAAGTAAATCTACAGAATGTGTCCTTATCTCTAAAACACTGTGTACATGACATAGTAACTAAAGCAAT